GCTTTTGGGACCCAAGATTCTCCTTGTCTCCCATGTGTTCCCATCTGTGTCCTTATTCAGCCAATTTTTTCCTACTTGCTGTGTGGTCTAGGCTTTAGGACCTCTTCATTTCTTTTTGTCCCTCCCTATTACTGTTCTTCTTCCTGGGTGCTTCTGGGCACAGGATACTCTTCGTGACTCTTCGTGGTGCTCGATGGCAAAGGATTCTTCTTGCCTCCCATTTGTTTCCATACTTGTCTCCTTGTCTGTTCCCAACTTGTCTCCTTATTTCTCTATCTCCATTGCGATTCTTCTCTCTGGGTGCTTTCGGTCAAAGGAATCTCCTTGTCTCCCGTTCCTCACTTCTCTCTCCATTGCTCAGTGTTCTTCGTTCTGGTGGCTTTGGGGACAGGACTCAAGTCCCATCTGTTTTCGTACTCGTCTCTCTACTTCACTCTCACAAATGGCTGTTCTCTCTGGGTGCTTCCGGGGCACAGTATGCTCCTTGTCCTCTGTCTGTCTCCGTGCTTGTCCCCCTTGTTCTCTCCAACTCATGCCCTTACTTCTCTCTCTCTCTCTCTCTTGCTGTTCTTCTCTGTAGGTGCTTATTTGGACACATGATTCTCTCCGGTTCCTCACTTGCCCTTTCTTGTTCCCTCCAACGTGTATCCTTAATTCCCTCCTCATTGCTGCTGCTGCTGCTTGGAGAAGAATGGATTTCCTGGCCTCTTGTGTTTCTCCTTAACTTTTCTTCCTTTGTTCAGGCCAGGTCACATTCCCTTACCCTCGGTCTCTACCACATGTTACCCTACTTACCTTCCTACTTGTCTCCAACTTGTCTCCTTATTCTCTCTCCACTACCGCGCTTCTTTCCAGGTCTCCGGCATTTGGGAGGGAGAGGATAGTTTTTCTCCTCTTTCCTTTCTTTCCTTCCTTGTCCCTGTAGTCTTTCCCAGCGCTTTCTTCACTTCTCTCCTCATTCCTGTTGTTCTCGCTTTTGGGACCCAAGATTCCCCTTGTCTCCCATGTGTTCCCATCTGTGTCCTTATTCAGCCAGTTTTTTCCTACTTACTGTGTGGTCTAGGTTTTAGGACCTTCAGGTGCTTTGGGGCCATAATTGCAGTCTCCTCTCTTCATTTCTTTTTGTCCCTCCCTGTTACTGTTCTTCTTCCTGGGTGCTTCTGGGCACAGGATACTCTTCGTGACTCTTCGTGGTTGCTCGATGGCGAAGGATTCTTCTTGCCTCCCATTGGTTTCCATACTTGTCTCCTTGTCTGTTCCCAACTTGTCTCCTTATTTCTCTATCAAAAAAAATATGTATTCACTTTTTTTTGAATTTTTTGAATTTTTTGAATTCAAAAAATTCAAAAAATTCAAAAAAATCAAAATTCAAAAAAAAATGAAAGTCCCAAAAAGAAAGAAATGGAATTCAAAAAAATCAAAAAATTCAAAAAATTCAAAAAAAAAATGAATACATATTTTTTTTTGAATTTTTTGAATTCCATTTCTTTCTTTTTGGGACTTTCATTTTTTTTTTGAATTTTTTGAATTCAAAAAATTCAAAAAAAATATGTATTCACTATTCATTTTTTTTTGAATTTTTTGAATTCCATTTCTTTCTTTTTGGGACTTTCATTTTTTTTTTGAATTTTTTGAATTTTTTGAATTCAAAAAATTCAAAAAAAAATATGTATTCACTTTTTTTTTTTTAATTCAAAAAATTCAAAAAATTCAAAAAAAAATATGTATTCACTTTTTTTTTGAATTTTTTGAATTCAAAAAATTCAAAAAATTCAAAAAAAAATATGTATTCACTTTTTTTTTGAATTTTTTAAATTTTTTGAATTCAAAAAATTCAAAAAATTCAAAAAAAATATGTATTCACTTTTTTTTTGAATTTTTTGAATTTTTTGAATTCAAAAAATTCAAAAATTCAAAAAATTCAAAAAATTCAAAAAAAAAAATGAAAGTCCCAAAAAGAAAGAAATGGAATTCAAAAAATTCAAAAAATTCAAAAAAAATATGTATTATTCATTTTTTTTTTGAATTTTTTGAATTCCATTTCTTTCTTTTTGGGACTTTCATTTTTTTTTTGAATTTTTTGAATTTTTTGAATTCAAAAAATTCAAAAAAAAATATGTATTCACTTTTTTTTTTGAATTTGTTGAATTTTTTGAATTCAAAAAATTCAAAAAAAATTATGTATTCATTTTTTTTGAATTTTTTGAATTCAAAAAATTCAAAAAAAAATATGTATTCACTTTTTTTTTGAATTTTTTGAATTTTTTGAATTCAAAAAATTCAAAAAAAAAATGAAAGTCCCAAAAAGAAAGAAATGGAATTCAAAAAATTCAAAAAATTAAAAAAAAATATGTATTCATTTTTTTTTTGAATTTTTTGAATTCCATTTCTTTCTTTTTGGTATATAGATTAACTAGTAGGGATTCTCCAGAAAGAGGTATAATTTCAATAAAATCCTTTCGACATGCAAACGTTCAAATAGTACATAAAGGTCCATCGTACATATATATATATATATGTATATTTTATACTTTTTAACCAAAACTCTTCCTTGCCTACCGTAGAAGGCTGATTAGCTGAGGTCTCTCTGAGGACCCCGAGAATCCGATCATTTGGAACAACTTGGGCGCTGCCAGAATGGTCCAGACCTCAGCGGATCGAGACTTCGCGGGAAAACATGGTGGCCAAAGGGCGATTTGTAAGCAAGGTCCTGCAATGATTCTGCTGGATGTGTACCCCCCAAAAAGTGTTCTGAGCCCAAAGTTTTGCTTCTTTAACCACCACATTCACGCCAAAATTTCATGTTGAGATGCAGCCATCATCAATGTTCATGGTCATTTCCAGGAGTCTGCCGGTACGTTTTTGGGCTCGAGGATGTCTAATACAAAGTGCTGATTTCGGTGCGCTTGGCCCCGAAGTGACGCGGGGAACCATGGAGCCTTCTATGGTGGTGGCTTCGGCGAACGATGCAGTGCATGGGGGCCACTGATGCATGAAATGTGGGCATAAAAACCATTAAACAGCGAATTAGATGCAGTTGTCAGGAAACCAAAGACTTTTGGATACTTTGACTATTTAATTTAATTTCATATTATAGTATATACAGTTTAAAGCCGTCCAATTTTCATGTCCTTTGGGATGCCTGGATTTTGATTGGCATAGCCACAGCCAGCCCTTCGGGCTTTTCAGGTGGGATGTTTGTGGTTCATTGTGATTGCCTTCATGTTCTTCGCGCAGCATCATGTCTGTGATGCCTACTTCGTCCCCGCCATCAACGTCTTTGTTGGAAAGATGAAGACATCTGGTGAGCAGTTACGGAATTTGACACTTTGTAATCTGTAATTTGATAGTAAGTGGATGTAAGTGGGTTGGTAAACCCAACACTAAGCCAGACGTTTTTTTTCTGTTTGTGGACTATCCAAAACCATAGCATCAGGGTTCATGATTGGGTCTGCCACATCCTCCTGCAACTAGCTTGTAGGATTGACTTATTTAGTTCATATGTTATACCCTCTGGTAATTTAACATGGCTATTGAAAATGGCCATAGAAATAGTGGATTTTCCCACAAAAAATTGGTTATTTTCCAGTTCGCTATGTTAGTTTACCAGAGGGTAACATGTTTTTTTAGCATAGCCCTTGATGATTACAGCAGCTTCCAGGAAATCCAGCAACACATGGCTGCAGCGCTGGGGAGACGAGGCCTGGCATTACATGTCCCCATTGAACATCACCCAACCATGAATGGTATATGGTCTACTAGATGGCTACTTTTTGCGGTGATGTCCAATATTCCCAAAATGGGACAGTTACATACAGTTACCAAGCCCTGTCATACTATTAGCCACCTATAATACCTGTAATAAGCTGTTTTGTGTTTTGAGATTTCAACAGCATGGCTTCCCCCAGCAACCTCATACCGCCCTTTCGGCAGGCTGTAGCGGGCGCCACCATTTGTGCCCTGGGGTGCAACGGTCCTGAAATGTTCACCAACTTGATTTCCCTGTACACCGGATCAGATGCAGGACGGGGATGGCTTGGATTCCTTGGCTTTCCCCCAGTTTTGGAAGAAACATTTCCCCAGCGAAGCACGAACGGCTGAATCGTTTTGGAAGAAACTCAACTTCAAAACCAGCCAGCTTTCTTCATGACTCATCAAAGTTGTGTGCTCTTAACACTGATGTCCCAACTCTTGAATTTGCGAATTAGACCTTGAAAGGCCGAAAAAGTCTGAGTTATATAATGTTATATAATTATATGATGTTATATAATCTTTTCCAAAGTCCCTTAAATTTGCAGTCTGCAGCGAATCACCCTTAAGCCATCACACGGCATCCACCAGGGATTGGTGTGGTCGTGGGTTCGGAAATCTTCAACCTGCTGATCATCGTGGGTTTAACCATCTCTGCCGCTCCGGTGGTCCCATTGGCACTGGAACGGGTGCCCTTCGCCCGCGACTGCTTCTTCTATGCCCTGTCCATCGCCTTGCTCTACTGGGCACTGTTGGATCATGCCATTGCCACTGGGACTCTGCAAATCTCTGCAAATCTGGGACGGTCAGGTGCCCCCGGTTGGCTTATAGATTTTATAGCCCCAAGCGGCCAGCAGCTGGCGAAGCAGCACCCAAAGGAAGCCAAACACTCTACAAACATTGGGCGGATCATGCGTTGTTTCCTTTTCTTGGAGGTGGTAGAGCTTTGCGAAGCGGTTCTGGGTCGTGGGTAGCGACATCGTCAATTCGAGTGGGGGAAAGGGTAAGAAAGGCTTTCCATCTAATGCGATATAATCCTTTGCTGAACTATACTAACTATACTAAACTAGACGCAATTTATGGTTTTCTTTGAGGACACACCATGCCCAAGTCTTCCAATCAATCACCTTTTTCCACAAAAAAGCATGTTTTTTGTTTTTCCTGATCATTATGATTGGATGGTTTCACTGCTAAAGACTAGAAAAAGTTGCGCCCCAAGACATAATATGCTTGTTAGACACTCAAATGGCTAAAATGATTGGTTTCCAGTTGTTTCATAGCTATATATTCGTGATGCATCCCACACATTTTGCTTTTGACATACATCCCAGTATATCCCATTTTATATCCTGATAACATGCTTGGTTTAATGACATACCTTGTTCTTGTTGGTCAAGCCCCGATTATCCCATTACTATCACATCATTTTCATCATTTGGACAAAACCCATGCCCTCTTATGTCCCATTGCAGTTTTTTTTCTCATAAAGTTGCCTAAACAACCGCTAAACATATTTGTATACATATATATCTATATCTGTATCTATACTATAATACCCCTCATTTCATGGCAGCCAGTCTGCCAAAAGTTCCAACTTTTCCGGCCAGTTCCACGCCATTCCACGTCGTTCCCAGGAATCCTTTGAGGCCTGGGTTCTCCTGGGTGCGGCCTTGGTCTACGTCTGCTGCGTGTACTTCACCGGGGATCTCATCATCGCCATCCCGGCGCTGCGCCCCACAACGGTGGCGCTGGAGGAGCCCGCATCGCCCAGTAAGAAGAAGGGGAAGATGCACGGCATCGAGGTGGAGACATGGAAAAAAACCACGGGGGCCCATGAAAAATGGGGGGGTTATGAGGGTTATGGTCAAAAAGTGTTTTTTTTTTGCCGTAGGATGATGATTTGTACCATGGTTTAATGATGATTCGGCATGATTCATGGGATATTTTATGGGTTTTATATGGTTTTATGGGATTGATTCATGGGTCTGGTACCTGAAAATGATGAGAAAAATGCTAATGGAGTCCAGACCATTCCATCCACCGGTGGAAAAAGACCATCCAAGTGCCATAAATTGATTTAACATTGAGGGACATTTCATTGGATGAGGCATCATTAAAAATCATGATCTTTTTTGGGGGTGTAGGACAAAGGTAATCATGGGAGTGATGAATATCTTATAAAATCATGGCTAGAATCATGAAATAATCACAGATAGTGCATATGTAGATCATAAATGACGGGGAGTGAGCAGCCATGGAGGTGAACAATATGAATATGTTTTCTTATGATTGTGGGATATGGTGGTTCCATATCATTGTACCCATGCTATTCTGTTCAGGTCAGAGATATGATGAGTGCTAAACCACTAAAAGATCATTTTTCTTCAGCCGCAACTCCGAAGAACAACTCCCAACATCTGAAAATGGGGTTTGTCTGAAAATGGCCTACCCTCTGGTAAACATACAAAAAACTATGGAAAATCACCATTTTCAATGGAAAAATCCACTATAAATGGTCATGTTCAATAGCTATGTTAAATTACTAGAGGGTACCCCCAAAATCCCGTATGATTCACATTGATTTGCCATGATTTTTCCCATTGAAATGACACGCTGATGGAGCCCAAAACCCCCGTTTTCCATCATGGCCCTGGCCTTAAAAGCGGCCGCAGGTGTCTGTTGAGGAGATTTTGCATGCGCGCATGGCGGATGCGCATAAAGATCAGCAGCAGTGGAATGTGGACCCAACGGCCCATGGCATCTATGCTGAGCCCCAACAAATTCCCGCAGAGCAGAAGGAATCGAAGGCCGCGGCAGGGTTTTTTTTACTGAACCTTCGCGCCATGGTCAAGTGCTCCTGGTATCTCCTGGTAAGTTGGACTCCAGCTTAAAATCGGAAGGTGGTCTCAACATGTTTCGGCAGGGTTTCATTCACCAATATCCACCAGATTTTGGAGATGTCCCATTTGGATCCAGCCATGGCCCCATCAGCCAGCGGGTCAGCCCGGGGGGAGCCGCAGGGTGCGCGACAGTCCATCGGCTTCCAGTTTGATGTGAAGGATAGTATGTTGGGTGCTGTGCTGAAGTACAAAGACCTACAGGTGCCTTGGAGGATGGGAGATATACCCTCTGGTTATTTAACATAGCCATGGAAAATGGCCCATTTATAGATGGTTTACCTATTAAAAATGGTGATTTTCCATGGCTATGTTAAATAACCAGAGGGTATATATATAGATATGGAGCTGACCCACTGTGTGGCCATGTCAAAATGCAAAGACAATGGTGGGGTGGATAATGCTCCACAACTTGTTTGATGGTACACTCAAAGAGCTCTGCAATGAGTTTGGAACACCCTTCAGAATGTTTTGGAAGCATACGCTCCAGCTGGGGTGTTAGAACTTGCTTCAGGGGAAGTTCTTTGAGCCCACCAGCTGAATTGAAGGGTTTGAAACCCAATTTGCCCTGAACATAGTACCTCAATTTGTTGGACCCCAAGAAACAACGACTGCAAACTCGCAGTTGTTTCAGCTTATTTCATCTTCATTTCATCATCATGTCATCATCATTTCATCATCATTTCATCTCAGCTTTTCAGGAAGTGGTCTTGATGGAGATGGGCGTCATTAACTTGGAGTTTTATCACAATTTGCAGCACATCACCTTGCGCTTGACGGTGGAAGATCCCGATCAGCGCGACCAACTGCTGACGCTCGCAGGGGACCGCTGATGGGGCCAGCAGTATGGCACTTCGGAAATATAATTATAATATAATATAATACAATATAATATCATATAATATATAATATAATACAATATAATATAATATAATATGATATAATATAATGTAATATAATATAATATAGTAATATATATATATATATTATGGTATGACAACAGGAATAGATAGGAATGTTATATCCAACTATATCTACAATATCTAGAGATATCATATATTAAATCATCATGAGGAATAGATCAACAGAGCTTCTTGGCAAAAAACATGGCCCTGGAAACATTCTTGGGATGAACATATACCAAGGAACAACATCAAGGAGTACTCCCTGGGTCGTCCCTGGGTGCACGGCTATGATGCCACCATCGTGGGGGCCTGGCAGCACTTGCGCCACACCTTGGGGGCCACTGAGATGCCGTTGATTCAGAAACTCGTGGCGGTCCCCGAGTTCCTGATCGATTCTGTGTGGCTGGGATACGAAAAATGGCCACGCCACACAAGTGGCGGGTGATTTCAGTTGGGTGAAGCACTATATATCTATCTAATTATATATAAGTATATATACACGGGTACATATATATATATATGATATATGTATATATATATAAATCATCATCATATGTATATATATATATATAAATCATCTATCCAGATTTGATGGATGTTGGTCATGTTTGTTTGACTTCGGGTTTTTTGTTGTGGATTTTAAAGATGAGCCTTGCTCAAGATGGGTGTTGGTACTGATCATCCAGTTCAATGCTTACGTTGATGCCCCTTTTTGCCGCATGTTGAGTTGATGCAAAGGCAGGGTGGCATTTTTCCAGAACGAAAGGATATAGATGGCACCAAACAATCCAATCTAATCTTCTCAAAGGACATCATGAATGAGTGGTGCAATGGTAGTTGCTGGTGGATGACGGCTGGTGGTCAGCCAAACCCTCGCAACTTTTCCCAATACGTGATGGGAATCCTGAAATGAGCAAGATGGAAACACTTATTTTATCTTATTATATTTATCTACATTTCAGATTACTTCAAGAACCTTTACGATGCATTCAATATCACCTCCAGCTACAATGAAGGTTAGTTTGGACACTCCAATTAATAAGAGATGATGTTCTGGTGATCTCTGGCAACGAGGTTGGAGGCTATTTGTGGGTCACTGCTGCTTTCCTCTGTTTTCATGCATTTTCTTCAGCGTCCCCTGATATCTTCGGCATGGTCAGTACCATGCACTGATCATCCCCAAAATAGCAAGGGTCTGAAACAGTTTTGTTGAACTACTCAACACAGCATATATGGCTTTGTCTGGAAATCAGATACCCCAATCCATCCCGATTTTTTACCATCATTTTCCCTCTAAAAAGCGGCATTTTGTTTTGGCAAAAAACCTATTTTTGCAGACACACCCAAATATCACTTGTATATCTCAGTCTATCCCGGTTTTTCCTAGTTAAATCCCCATTTTCCCTAGTTCAATCCACATTTTATCAGCTTAAATCCATGCCCAGTTGCCGCCCGGGCATCATAGGTTGAGACTCACCCTGTTCCCCGTGGACGTGAAGGACATCACCAAGGAGTCCCGCTGGCCACTGTGCTTCGCGGGTGCCATGCTGCTTGGAAGCCAGCCCATAGGACAGCTGGTACAATGCGGGTTCATGGCCATCCTGAACCCCCCCAAAAAACCAATGGTTTTTAGCATCATTTTCTCATTAACATGGCTCTTCAATTGGGGTAAAACATGATAAATCCCAACCCCCATGAACAAAGCCATGGAAACCATGGAAACCATGGAAACCATGCGGTGGTTAAAAAACCTCCAGGTTTTGGCTGGCCATCTTTTCCTTCTTCATGTTGGAGATCGCCAACCAGATACACTACAACATCCCCGCGCTGCCCAACAGCTTTTTAGGCGGCGTACAACGGGTTCCGTTGATGTTTACCCTCTGGTAAACATACAAAAAGCTATTGAAAATGGTCATTTATAGTTGATTTTCCCATTAAAAATGGTGATTTTCCATAGCTATGTTAGTTTACCAGATGGTAATCTCCTCCGTCTCCACAGCCTGGTTGGTAGATACACTATCTGGATCGGATAGAGATACCGTTCCAGATGTACCAACCATGGAATGAAATTGGTTGGTCTTATACAGTGACCTGTATATTCTGTTATCCACTGCAGTATTCATTGCTTTCATTCTGCCCCAATGACCACCTAAAATAGGTGAATTCTGTGGGTTGGTGGTAACTTTAAGGAACCATGATGAGCCATGGATTTTGGTCATTTTTGGGTTGGATTCTAGTTTTGGGACACCTGAAATGGATGGAAAAGGTTGTTCTACCCTACTGGATGAGTGATATTATGTTATATTCCAGGTCATATATGGTTGATATCACATTATAATCATTTATAATCCAAATATGATAACAGATCTATCAACAACTGTTCCGTTAAACAGATCCAGGATCTCCCCCATCCATGATCTCGCCATGGTCACCAAATCGAGGCATCACCGTGTGCGCCATCGGCACCTCGTTCCCCAACGCCGTGGCATCGGTGTTGATGGCGCAGCAGAACAAACCCGCCGCGGCCATCGCCAACGCCTTGGGCTCCAACGTGCAGAACGTCTTCCTGGCCATGGCACTACCATGGGCCACCCGCGATGGGAATGGATGGGAATGGATGGGATGGTGGGAATGGTGGGATGGTGGAGGTTTCCTACCCTCTGGTAAACGTTTACATGTTGCTATGGAAAGATCCACGATTTTTAATGGGAAAATCCACTATTTCGACGCCATTTTCAATAGCTTTTTGTATGTTTACCAGAGGGTAAGTCATGCCCCAGTTCTGAATCTTTGGAGATTTCCGGGGATTTCTCTGAAATAAACCATCCAGCTCTTATGGGGAATTTTCCATGGAAAGACATGGGATTTTCTGGATGATGGGGTGATGGGATGATTATGGGGGCTTCTGACATTGGGGAATCTCCAAGTCACCCTTGGTTGTTTCAATACTATAGTCTATAGTTCACCAATGACTTGGGCGATGACTGGGGGCGATGACTGGGGGTACGATCATGTCTTTGGAAACCTCCATATCAAAATGATACATCTGGGGGTTTGTAGAATAGACATGTGGTATTCATGTTGAAATTTGTATTATAATATACATACACTATAACATATACATAAGTATCATATAATTATAATTATATATATATATATTGATGTATTTGTCTATGGAGGATACGTCTTTTTGTGACAACTTGAACTAGGAAAATGTTGCTTTGGGGTCACCGGAATTGGACGTCTTGTAGCTTGGAGGATGGAATAAACGTGATGAAACGCGGTATATCGATATATATATATATATATAATATACATACATTGTATATATATATATATGTATATAACATACCGGGGCATACCCCAAAATTGCAACTTGATGTGAGTTTGAGCGCTCTCAATTGTTGGCACTAATTGAGAAAATGATGATGATGAGAGTGATGTATGCATTTGATTTTCGCAACGATGAGATTTCCGGGCCTTGTTTGCTGGTCAAGATGCGATGAATGGATGGTCGAATACCTTTTCAGTGACCGAAGTGGTGGCGCAAGAAATGGCTGGCGGATGTCCAATTGAGTTTGCAGCCAAAATTGCAACATGTTGTTCAAATCCCAGTGCAAGTTGTTGATTCTGTTCTCTTTTCTATTCTTTTCTGAGATGTGAACTGGGTACCACAGTGATATTTTTCTTTGCATCGCTTGGCAGTGCCGACATATTTTGATTGAAACCAGCGGGATATGGGATCGGGAAATGTATTGAGAAATTGAGTATTAGTGCATGGCTTGTTCCCCATCTGGCTTACCCAATATTTACTTGAAAAGAAGCCAGATGTATTTTTTGGCTGACGATTTCTGGGCAGAAAATGACGATTCGAATTTTTTGGAGCCGAGAGCCTGATGTCTGCTGATCAAGACTGAGGGGTTAGCTCCCTTCACCAATAGATCCACTAGCTAGATGATTAAACATAGCCATGGGACATGGCCCATAGAAATAGATGGTTTACCTATTAATTTTTCCATGGCCAACTGTTAGATAAAGAGATGGTATACAAACCCCGGAAGGTTTGTTCATGGAAGAGGCTTGGTAGATGACCTAAGGTCATCTACCAACTTCAGCATGGTGGCAAACCCATCAATCAGAACGTGGCTGGCATCAACGAGGGAGTCCTTTGGATGTGTGGAACTTTAATCCTGGTGATTTTCTTCGTGTTGCTGCCACCCTTCTGCAAACTCTCCTATGCCTATGGCCCGATCTTAGCCACTTGGCAGGAAGTCGAAGGCTTGATGCAGTTGAAATTGAAATCATATGGTAAACTTCCAAGAGATAGAACTGACCTTGAGAATCCTTGAAATGTCCATTGGACCTAGCCCATTTGAGCCCCACCAAGGTAAGCGTTTACGTGGCATACTTGGTAGTGACGAGTGGTGAGACATTTGGTTGGTGGCCACCCTTGGTGAAGTAGTGGCCATCGACTGGTCTGGTGGCGACCAGCGGGGGAGCCCTGTGAGATCCGGCGGTGGGTCCAAAATTCCCAACCCACAGCCGATCCCATCATTGTTTCAGTACGGAAAGGTCAATGGACCAATCGATCTGCGCCAATCGGAAAGACGGAAGATGCCGCGCTGTTCAGCGAATGTGACATACATGACCCCACATGCTGATCTAACGGTGGGGTGGGCTTGGGTCGCCTGTCAGTTTCCGACTTCGCAAATGGATGCAAATGGCAATACGTCAAGGTTCATTTTTGTTATTTTGAAGGGTACATGAGTATGTTATGATATGTTATTTGTCCGAAGCATTTTAACTCATAGCTAGGTTCGCAAAAAAAAGGAGTGCTGATGTGCTATATCCAAGCCGCAAATTCACACGGGATGGTTTTAAGCTTTCAATCCTGATTTATAGATAGATTATGCTCCAAAAAAGTTTGCTGTTTGACATACGCTTGGCCCAAGGGCTTTTTTCCAATGCCACCAGAAAAAGGTAGATATTAGTGATGAGAGGCTTCTTCTGTTATGGACCCCCCCAAAAAAACCACCAGACACCCAGTTTTTTTCAGTAAAAAACGCCACCATTTCCCCCATTTCCACCATTTCCATATGCGGTTTCCTGTCCAAAAAAAAACCCAAAGAAAAGCCATCCCGCTTCCGCTTTTTGATCCAAGGACCTGGGGGATTTGGAAGCCGCTGATTTTGCCTTGCGCCGCACCCAGCTGGTGGGGTGGTACAGGTTGGATTTCCATGGCCATGAAAGCCTGGGGAATGTGACAGTGGGAACATGAACCATGGACTATCCATGGACTTTTGGTCGAAATTTTTGGAGATTTCTGACATGCCATCTGAAAGCTGCTTTTGTTTTTGAAAAAGCGTCATTTCTTAGTCCGAAAAATTGAAATCGGGTTTCCTGGGGAAATGAACAGGCAGCTAAGCTGTTGAACTTCATCCCAGAAGGATTCAACCTTTCTTCACTGCTTGATAGTTTCAATATCTTTCAAAGTTTTTTGATTTTCAACTATGGAAACTGGATGATGATCATATATGATCAATGACGAGCACAAGCATCTTCAAACCAGGTTTTTTTTTTCGCGGTTTGAGCCACCAGCTACCCAGTTTGACCTATGCTGACCTCGGCACTCAGGGACAAGGCCGCGGCGATCGCTGAAAAGAGCCAAGAAAACCACCCGCGGCAGTTGACGATCGCCAACGTGCGCGATGGAGACGTTTGGGGGTTGCTATGTCATCTATGTTTGTACTGAACATGGGATAATGTGGGCCAACGGCCAAGTCATTGGGTTGCCAGTGGTTTCATGGTTTCATCATGTTTGACCCCCTGGTGATTAACATAGCTATGGCAAATCAGCATTTTTGATGGGCAAATCAGCAGTGGGCCATTTTCCATAGCAAACTGTGAAACTACCGGAGGGTACAGAATACAAAGAATGACCAAAAATCGGTGTTGTCACGCGTCTTAAACTTTAGCACCATACGCAGATCAAATTCTGAATTGCTCCATGACTTTTGGCAACAGATGAACAGATATAAATGGGTACGGTACACCGGTATAGCAGGTATGGACTGATGTGATATTTTTTTAATGGACACACAGTTTTCCGCGCGGTGCCAGTGGATTTTCTGTGGGCCAGCAGCCCCAAAGGGTTACTGTAATGAAAATAGCTAGATTCCAAGGACGGGATTCCCAAATAGACATAAAATATCACAGTGATTCCCAGTTCTATGACTCCAGAATAGACTTCATACTGTATACTTATGTGACTTATGTATACTCGGTTTATCAAATTCACCAGCGCTGTCGTTGATTGTCCTCCAATTTCCAGGTACAAGAGCTCACCCACAGGGTGAAAAGTGGCAAGGTGAGACGGGTGAACTGGGATGCTTGACACCGTTTTTTTTTTTGCCTCACCTGTCACCTGGGAATTGGCAGATTTTTTGTTGAGATCCATTTTTTGAGACCTCCAAATGATCCTGCCAAAAGGGACATGTCCCAGAAGATCCTGGCTTGTTATTCAAAGAGAGGTCCTTTTAGGTCTCCTGAGCCAGGCGAAAAACAGGGCTCAAGTGGACATTTGGTTCAGGGAGACCTTTGCAGACAAAGAGATGAGGCCTGAGAGCGGAGACGTCCCTCAAACTGTGAACCCTAAGGGATCCTGAAGCTGTGACAAGTTGGAGGTTGAACTTGGCCCAAAAAAAAAAGGCACTTCCTCTGGAGACCTTTCTTTGCAAGTGCAAGGTCTGTTGTTTCGGGTGTTTCGGGTGTGGTAAGATTTTTCGGATTTTTCATGGATTTTGTCAAAGGTCAAGTCGACTCAACTTCGTTGTTCTTGCCCTTCTTGAAAATCACTTGAGGATGTTGTTTTTGAAGAGAATCCTACGCTGTAACCTTACGACCGGCTGGAACTTCACCCAGAACACCTTGAAATTGCAGGAAATTGTAGGTACTTTGGAGGTTTAAGGCTTGATTCAGAAGCTTCCAAACCACCATTTTCCACCATTTTGGAGGTATTTCCACAATTTTCCAAACATTTCTTTGCCATTTTCCACCCCTTTCCACCCCTTGCCAATCCACCTTCCGCAGGTCGAAGGAACTCTGAGAAATTCGTGCTGCCATTGCAACAATTCGCTGAGCGTGTGCTCATTAAAAACCGGGAGTTGTCGGGAATGGTTGATGATTCTGTTGACTATCTGTGATCTGTGAGATATATGATTATATAATTATATTATATACTATATATACTTATACTATATAATTATATTATATGATTATAATTGTGATATATTATATGATATTACAGATATATAATTGTTATGATATTACAGATATATGTATATATATATAATGATATGATATTACAGACACGTTACAGATACACACATGACTTTCGCAATGAAACGTATCATCTATCTGGATGAATTTTTCAACGAGCCTCACGGCAAGGGTAAGTTCATTCCACACCAAACTTTCACACCTGAAATCTGGTGAATCATTAGAATTTCTCATAGGTGTATATATATATATATATATGTATATTCTATATATAGTCTTATCATGTCTTATAACAGTCCATTTTTTTTTCTCTCTCTCTCTCTCTATATATATATACACATAATATGGTGACTTAGACATGAGTTTTCACGAGAGGAGTTGACAAATCAACTTCAGCCATTGCCCCAACGGCACCTTTCGGGACGGTGATGCTGCCGCAGTTTTTTGTCGCAAAAGAGGGCGCCTGGGTACAGCTGTGAAAAATTTGGGAAGAAACAATGGGGAATCATATGGTTAACGGATGTTAATGGTTGGTTAATCGATGATACTAGTCAATAATAGTCAATAATAGTCAGTAATAGTCAGTAGTAGTCAATATAATAGTCAATAATGGTCAATATAACATGATTAATTAATAGTGGTTAAGATTGGCTTAATCATCAACATTTGGGTGTCTTCAATATGCGAACATACAGTACCAGATGGTGAAAGACCTGGGGCTCCCCGATCTTTGGAAACAGCTAGTGATGTACTGAGGCTGGGGGAACTCGTTTGGCACGAAGCAATCCTCGTAGTTTGCTAGTTCACAACCCTCATGAACCACAAAGTGTTTTTTCAGTTTTTTTCAGGAACATGTCACAAAAAATCATATCCCAAATCAATGCTGCTGCCGGAGAAGAGGATAATCCCACTTACAGCGTCCAGTCTAACCTCACTCACCACTAGGCCTACGGATCCTCCAAGAGGTTCAACATGGTTCAACATGGTTCAACATGGTTCAACATGGTTCAACATGGTTCAACATGGTTCAACCCTCCAAAAGTGGACTTTTCTAGGGATTTCTTGCTGTCTTCAGTGGTTGAACATCAATAAAAAAGGACATTTCCAGATGACAAACTGGGCCACCGAACATGGCAAGCCACTATGCTTGCATCAACATGGATGGTGGAAAAAAGTCAGGAACGCATCCAGAATGTGGAGCTATTGTAAACCATCCAAACATATTCCTAAAGTCCTGTCGACTGTTTGCTGACTCAAAACTGTGCTTAAATGAAAAATCTTGGGAGGGCCTGGTATCCAAAACATCACACCATCTTCACCGATCTGATGGATAGAGATGAATGGTCATGGTACCTGAAAAAGTACATCATATCATATCAGTCATATCAAACAAATCATCTCCCCATCCAGAAAGATCCCCAGTGTTGGCTGCAATTTGCCCACCGAAGCGTTTTGGACCGACTGGTGCAGGCTGGATGGAACAGTTCCCAAACATCCAGGCTGCGCATGGGCCATCATGGGCCTATGCTTAATGTTTCCCTAATGTCAACCAGCGATTCTAGCAACCCCCGAGCTTTAATTTTTAGGTGCTAGCAATTTTAATGGTAATTGATTTTGCTATTTTTGGGTGTAACCCCGCAATGAATCGTCAGGGTTTACTGTGTAATTGGGTGTTGACACTGTGGCACATTCTCAGAAAGCCATTTTCAAGATGTTCAGTCACAGGCTTCCAAAGTTCCATTAATGGGAGCCATCCCGTGTTCATATTCATATGTTATATATATATATATGTATGTATGTCGTTGTATTGTATCATTTTACATTCCTTTGGCATTGCCAACATACACTGGCTTCGTTGGTTTTCCCCCTTCACGTTGAATAAAGAATTTGATTTGATGTGTTCATCTCCACACTTTCATAGGGATTTTGCTATACCCAATATGTTGGGAATGCCGATTCATGACGGTGAGATGACCATACCTCATTGGTTAACCATGGCAACCCACCTTGTGAAGCTGGGTGTAACTCCCCCATTTTCAGGCATACCTCATCTCATCTCGTTGGTCATTATATTGTATATATGAAAAAAAAACAGTATCATCCATGATCATCCATTAATTATCATCCATGATCATCTACTACAGGTATCACAAACGAACTATCCACTTAAAATGGTGGTCTTTTTTACGGTTCAGAACCCCCTGGTCCAGCGCCTGGCTGTGGTGAAGCGCCAGGACGCCCCCTTGCCAACTCAAAGGCGTTTGTACCACGAAGCAAGGAGCTACCTTCGGTGGACTTGGAGTTGCAAGTTGCCAAGTGCCAAATGGCAAATATCAAGTATCTTAAGATGTTTTTCAGCAGGTAGAGTGTCAGAGGATTAGAGATATTGATCCAATTTTTTCAGTGGAACTGGAGGCAGTTTTTTGATCCAATTGATCCCATTGATCCAACTTCAAGTTGTCGCTACCAGGAGATTGGCACAACAACTGGTGCATCCTCCACAGCGTCTTCGCTTTTCGGATCCCACGGGGGG